GCTGTTTATCCAGAAGAGATTATAAACCTTGGGCATCAAGAACAATGAAACCCAGCAGAAGATGAAAACACAGAATGCTGTTATAGCTAAACGTATGGATTATAATTCCTTGAAAAGTCAGCATACAGCTAAGTATAAAATGAGAGGATGCAGTAGCTGGCTACTATGGAGTTACTATGGCCAGCTATATGACCAGCATATGAATCATAATCGAAAGTACCAGCTGTAATGTCATGTGTTACAGTGCAAAAAAAGCCAGGATAATCAATAAAAACCAGCAGAGAAGCAGAACTGGCCATCTGGAGAACACCACTGGGCTGTATTGAAACACATGCCATGCAAATAGGTTTCTTTAGGGTGAGAGTCTATATTTTTACTAATTTTAAGCCGTTTATTTTGGAATCAAAATGTGCGGTTAACATGTCTAGTTCAGCTGTTATCAACTATGTGGAAATGGAAATATAATGGAATTCTGACCTACAAACACAGTTTAAATAAAGGTTGGGCTAAGTTAACAGCATTTTCTTGGGAAAAACAAACTTTTTCTTCTTTCTTTTACAAAAATGATGAAAAGAATATGCAGAAATGAGCTTGCTTTTTCTGTTCAAGAAATGGCAAATTTCACCACATTATTAAAGGATTTATTGAAATCCAGCCATAACCCACTTCATCCTAAACTGCACAGCAGAAACGGATGCAAATAGAAAACTACATGTTATTCTATGCAGTGAGAACATGATCCAAATTTTCCTTGAATACAATAAAAAATATCTCATCAACTTCAATGGATTTGTGATCGGGCCCCACTTCTTTCACTTACAAAGGATTCATTTTTGTTTTTAGAATATAGAGCAGAAACACTGAGAACAGATCCTTCTCTGAAAATGCTGTAGTGCCTCAGAAAGCTATGTGCATCTTTGAGAAGTTAAATTAACCATGAGAATATGTCATTGAATCAGAAAAAATGGGAGAATTTGAATCAAGGTTGATAATGAGCTTCAAGGAAGAATCTTTAGTGTCTGTGCTCATTAAAAAACAGGCATTAAAGCAGTCCAATTAGTGCCCATGCATGAGACTAGAAAGGCCATAGTCCAAAGATACAACAGTGGAAGTTGTAACAAATGATGTTTTGTTCTTGTTTAAAGGTTTTTTCATGCATTTGTGAACCAACAAATAATTTATCTTCCCCTCTTTCAGAACTACAGGCTTACCTGTTTCTTTGAAAACTTGTTTCACTTTGCTTCAGATGCCTTTTTAAAGAAAATTAAGCATCTCTAATTAAATTTTCATGTGCAAATAACATCAGAATTAAATGCAGATTAATGCGTGGGTTGGAACTTTTTCAAAGGACAGTTTTCAGAATTGACTCCTCTAAGGATTTGTGTATATGGGAATGTCTTCTGTGTGTAATAGAAAGAAGCAGGAAAAGTGAGATGCTTTGCAATGAGATGCTTTAGCCATCTAAAACGTAGGCATGTAATCTAGGCACTTATCACCTCCTTTTCTAAGTTAACAGAAATAGCTGGGTGACTAATTCCATATAGCTTCAAATAGGAACTTATAGTAGCTTTGGGAGGTGTCCAGTATCCACTGCAGAACTCTGAATGACTGTCCTTGACCAGACCCCTAACTTCTAAACAGCCTGAACAGGATTAGACAGACTTTTTGTGGGTTTCAGCTTGCAGATGCAGACACCCACATGTCTAAGTTGAGCAAGGTATCCAGGCTTCTTCGCAACTTCAATGAAGATTTGGTCAATCCAATCAAAAGACTCAAGAATTATTCAGCATGTCCTGAGATAAACAGTTTAATTTTGTCACTCCCGGTGTTTTGTACCTGTTCTGAGTAACCAGCTGTAGGTGATCCTGCTTGAGTAGGGGGATGGATGAAATGACCTCCAGACGTGCCTGTCAACTTCAACCATTCTGTGATTCTGTGATTCAAAGCCTTGTCAGGGACAGTGACAAGAATTGGCCAGGAACTAAAACTATAAATTAGAATTATCCTGCATTATTATCTCATGGTCTACCTCTGTTATGCTTTATCATCTGCAATGTTGTAATGCCTGGGACTATCAGATCTAGACAAGAACTGTACTGTATTAGTCATTAATACCTGACAAAATGATGTAATTATATGTACATACCACAAAACTGAAAAACATTGGCATTTGGATTGTGGGAATAGATAGCTGGGATCTTTTCCCAGATCTTTTTCTTACACAGAAATTCACTGAAGGTCTTTTCTTTTTCTCCTGGTGCTCTTCCCATTCCATCTGAGCCATCAATTTTTGAGAAAAACTTTGTTTATATTATGGGTTTGTTCTCATGTACTGGAAAGAAATCCAGTCCAAATCATGAAAAAGCACTTATGAATGTACTGTCAGTTTGCTGCATCAAAGGAGGAGTGCAAAATGCTGTGATGCATTCATCAGTTTGTATAACAGGAAGGGAAAGGCTTTTTTTTTTTTTTGGTCTTTTTTTGTTTGTTGTTTTTTTTTCCCAGCCTACGACATTACTTAGATGATTATGCAAGACTCTGCAGGAAAACAGAGAAAGAGATGCCAGTTGCAAGCATAAGACCTCCTTCTGGCATATCAGCGGAGTGAAAGTAACCTGGCATCCTTTTCCAGCAGGCATGCTTGTACATCGTACCAGCCTGATGGCCTGTAGCAATGGCCCATTTCACTCTAGGATGTTGTCCTTAATAAGTTCTAAAGCATTGTGAGCAAAGTATTAGAACTTGGGTGCTAAATCTATATTTTGGCATGCAAAGCAATCAGTCAGAGAGTGGGTGAGGAAACAACAGGAGCATCAATCTCTAGGTGACTAATGAGGGCTTGCTCCTGAGGAGTCCTGCGTTGTGGCTTCTTGCAGTCTTTTGCTCTTCACTCACTGCCCCTAGTCATGGCTTAATGCAAAGTGTCTTCCTCCACTACTTGGGAAGATGCCTTGTACCAGACCACTGGTTGTGGAATTTCAGTGCTTTCCTGGGACTGAAGATGGAAAACCACAAGACTGGGGATAGAGGAAAGAAAGGCTCTCCTGTAGGACATAAAAAGGCAAGGTAGACACTTAAGGGAAAGGCTGAAGATCAGGAGAGCAGTGGCAGATAGAAAAAGAAACATCAAGCCCAGGGGGTTAAAAAAAATGGCAAGGAAGGACAAATGACAGGGAAAAAATCTTGGATTATGTAATGCATGATATTTTTCAGCATTTCAATATTTTTCAAACAATGGAAAAGTTTTTTTCTTCAGTAAGTTCTGCTGTGAGATTTGCATAGGGGTACCCGCAGCCTTGCTGTAGATATGGTATCCCATTACAGATTAAAAGGCAATATCCCAGGAAAATCATAAAATCTAGTATTTAGAGTAGTGTTTTCTATACTGGTTTGGAAAGCAAAAAAACCTAGTGGTGCCAGCTGTGAGCTAATGGCTGAGTAGGTGTGAAGAGCTCTCCTTGCCTAGGAAAGGTGTTAAGTGATTAACTGATGTTAACTGAGTGAGAAAATACCAGTGAAGCTGGGCTAATTATGATAGGACAACTCCAGTCTGACTTTACAGGCAAGGAAGGAAATCACTAAAAATGAATGCAAAAATAGGCAATATCCAGTTTCAGGACATTTCAAATTCACATGGTTAGTGCATGGATTGAACCTGCAATGCAGACAGTGATTGCAGTGATTTAACATGTGACTAAAATGAAGAAACTTGATTAGTGAATGATAGAAGATAACAACTGAGAGGATAAGACATGTCAAACTACAGATGCAGTAATGTTCATAAGAGCAAACAATTTCTACGATGTCTGCATTCAAGCTGATATATCAGCTGGACCCCACCGTGTAGTGTTTGCTCATCAGCACCAATAATAGGTCCTGTATTCCCCAGCAAAGAGCCCTGAATGACAAGAGACAGAGTTGAGCTGTGCTTCTTGGAGCAGGGATAGGAGCAGGGGCATATTCTGGAGCAACCGACTGTGGGCATTGGGTGAACAGCTGCCCCAGGAGGTGCACATCTGGGGTGTGGGTGCCTGGGGTGTCAGCAGCCCTGCAGCTCTGGCAGCTCCCAGAGTATTAGTAGTCCTCAAGCCAGTGTGTCTGTCAGGGAAAACAGCAGATCTTGAGAGGAAAAATTAATACTATTAAGTCTCCACTTCTAGAGGCTAGGTCCCTTTTTCAAAGATACAACATGCTTTTCTGGCTAGTTCAGATCTGCTTAACATAATTTATTTTCTTTAACATATTGATATTTAATTTGCTTTCAGTATAATAAGTAGCTTAGACCATTAAGTCATTAATAGTACCACCCTTCTAGCCTGCACATTTATCATCACTCTTGCATCTATCCATTTATAAAATGAAAATTAAATTCAGGGTAGATAACGATGCACTTTTTCAGATATGCTGAAAATTGCAGTGGTTTTGAGTTCTCTTGATTAATCTGTGTGAGGTAGAAGTGTTTACCTTTTTTGTAAATTACCTTTCCTATTGTAACCATTAGCATATACTGATGGTAAAGAAGGCCTTAGCTCCACTGTAATGATGTGCTAGGCAAGTCAGACTGACCATAGCAGAACATGCTTGGAAGCTGAAATTTTAAATGAGCAGCACGTTCTTTTTCATACTGTTGTTTTGAGTCTTTCTTTTATTAACTCATCTTTTGTAGACATCAGGGGGAAAATTAGTGTTAAGGAAAGGTCTGAATCAACTGTGGGAGATGTCTGCATGAGGAGAAAATAAAAAAAATGCTGAGCATCAGAGCACATTTCCTGACAGCGAAATCTGTCAAAAAGTCTTTCAAAGCATGTGAAATCAGACTTAAGTTTTACAAGATCACAGTTTTGCACTTTTCTCTGTTTGGGCTGGGTATAATGTTAACAAAAGCAAATCCAACCATAATCCCATCTGCCTCCAGTGTGGCTACTGCGCTTCTAACGTGTCTTCTCCCGTTTTTGTTTTCAAGGACACATCAGAACAATTTCCCAGAAAAAAAACATACCATGGATATTTGGGTCCAGCAGTTAGCAGTGGCAGCACTGCTTATTATGGTTGATGCTCAGCTGTCAAAGCCGGCACGCGCACCTCTGGCTCTGCACAAGCCTTTCATGGTTGTTTGGAACGCACCGACCGAGCAGTGCAGGCTACGGTACAAGGTGGACCTGGATCTCAGTGTTTTTGACATTGTATCCAACACCAATGAGACTCTGAGTGGGTCCAATGTGACCATCTTCTATCACACTCATTTGGGATACTATCCCTACTACTCAGATAACGGAGATCCTGTCAATGGAGGGGTGCCCCAGAACGAAAGTCTTCTCAAACACCTCCATAAAGCAAAGTCTGACATTGATTATTGCATACCCATGAAGAAATTTCAGGGACTTGCAGTCATAGACTGGGAAAACTGGAGACCCCAGTGGGATAGGAACTGGGGCAATAAAAGCATTTATAGAAATAAATCTCTTGAGATAGTTAGGAGACGGCATCCTCAGTGGTCAGAGGACAAAATCAGGAAAGTGGCTAAAGAGGAATTTGAAAATGCTGGCAAGAGTTTTATGAACAACACTATCCTTCTGGCTGAGCACATGAGACCAAATGGATTGTGGGGTTACTATCTTTACCCAGACTGCTACAATTATGATTACAAAGAACAGCCTCAGACGTACACGGGGAAATGTCCAGCCATTGAGTCTTCCCGCAATGACCTCCTGCTTTGGCTGTGGAAGGAAAGCACTGCTCTCTATCCTTCTATATACCTGGATTATATACTGAAGTCAAGTCCAAATGCATTAAAGTTTGTTCACTTTCGGGTTAAGGAAGCAATTCGTGTTGCCTCAATTGCTAGAAAAGACTATGTTTTGCCTGTTTTTGTTTACTCCAGACCATTTTATGCCTATACTTTTAATGTTTTAACAGAGGTAAGCAGACAGACTTCTTTAAAAATTTAGAATTTAGAAACAGCTGCTTAGAAAAAGTATTTTCTAAAAGTTTCCCTGTATAAAAACATTTACGCTTTTTTTTTATATATATATATATTTAAGACAACCCCTCTAAAAGGAAGCACACTAGTCACAGTGCAAAACTCTACACCTTTCAATAGTTAATACTGCAGTGCTTTGGTCTACTTCTGTAGGATAACATTGTGTATTTTTAATGAGGGTAATTTAGAAAGAAAGTACAAAGAAATCATTTCCTTAAGGAAGTAATTCATTCTGATATTTTAATTCTTCAGGACAGCTTGTGAAATTAACTTCACAAATTTTCATGAAGTTTAAAACTAATTAGTGTAATGGAAAGATAAAGTTTCATGAGAAAGGAGCCTCAGGGCTTTTTTGTTTCTTTATCCAAATGTAAAATCATTCAGTCTAGAAATAAACCAGTCAAGTAAACTAGTCTGGCCTGGAGTTCCTAACTCCTGCATGATGAGCATTGGCCATCTTGTTTTTCAAGGTATAACACATTCAAATACCTTCATGATGCAACATTTAGTGCTAAAACTGTGCAGTCCTTTTAACAAAGAAACCAGGTTTCTGAGTCTCGTAATGTTCCTTCAACCAATGACAAAGTTCAATAAATATATAGCGGCCACAACATTGATGGTAAAGCTACATGTGTACAAATCCCAGACTTTCTCAGTATGTAAGGATGATTACGGCTCTGATTTTGTTTGTGCATATAAAAGAGGAACACAAACGCTTATTGATTACTCTAGCAGTTGTCGCAGATGCTGAAACTTTATCTTTGATCGCTATCAGTTCCACGAGAGGGGAGGAAATCTATGGACCTCATGGAAAGAACCCCTCAATGGCTAAGGACTATCTGGGGGTGCTCCCTCCCTTTGATTTACGTGACAGCTCACTTCTGTTGCTGCCAGAGATGAGTTCTTGACTCAGACCAGAATAACAAAAGGGAGAGAAGGGGCAAGGGAAAAGGCAAGGGTCAGTCTAGCAAACCACAGGCTGCATCTGGCTTCAGCCTGGAGCCAGGAGCTGGGAAGGTGTGGTGAGGCCTCAACAGCCTGGGAAGTGCTTCAGTCTGCCCCTCCCTCATGGCAGATGGTACACAGAAACAATAATGAATTCAGTCTGCCTCATTTTTAGTAACCAAGGGCTCTTTGGAGCTCTTTTCTGTGTGATGTGGAAACTGCAGGGCCTAGCTGACTCAGAAGTTGTGGGCAAATAGGCAAGGCCGAGTCCCACTGAAGGCAAGAGCCACTGGGGTTGGTACAGGCAGGATTTCGTCCAAAATGCCTTCACTGAAGACCGCAGGCCCTGAAACTAAATGAACTAGAGCATGAACTACATGATCTTTAAGATCCCTTCCAACCCAAACCATTCTATGATTCCATGATTCTATGAAATAAATGAGCATTTTTCAAATGCAGGCTGTAATAATACATTTTTATAATATAAATTAGTCGATCAATATAAAAATACCACAAATGTTACTGAAAGCTGTGAAAACTAACATGCTGTTACCAGATATGCACAGGTTCAAAACCTGTGGTGGTATAAAGTTACACTTTTACCTTCAGCTATTTTCTGAACAGTACTGTGGTAATTTGGAGTGACTTTCCTCTAAAGTTATGCTCTTCAGCTCACTGGCCTGTTTTTCAGTTGCATGTAGCCATTTACTTTTGGATGCTCTAAAGTTCACTTTAAACTCCACAGGCAGGGAATATGGCTGCGTGGCACAGAAAGACCTTTGGGTTAAGCTCCATTACATCTTTTCCAACAAGAACAGCACCTGGCTCTGCAGGCAGCCATGGGGACAGGGCTTGATGCGTCTCCAGACTATACACACCATCTGCGCGAAGAGCTTGGGGACTGCCAGGAACTTGCAGGGTCGCACTTAAGAAAACTCTAAATAGGAATGATCAGGAAAATAATGTTTTAAAAATATTTTAAACATGGTTTTGTGTGTTCAGATTTTAAACTACACTGGAGCTTCTCATCTGACCCATGACATGCCCCTAAATGAAACTCACAAACCTGCCAACAAGGCATGAAACCTCTGAGCTCCAGCAACAATGTGCATGAATGTCACAAGGAGCTGGTGTAGTGCAATGACATACAGTCTAAAAGGCCGTAGAAAAATTGGGATACCCGGTGAATAGATACTTGAGCTGTCACAGGGACTGAGCCAGGAGAACCACTCTGCTACTCCACCAAGCTGTGCAAGATCTGGATGTTCTGTTTCAACAGAATTAATTGCTGACACATTCAAGCCCTGTGCGTAAGCCCTTTTGTACACAGTATGAAAAATACAGTAAATATCACAGTGGAAGAAAATAGAAAGAATGGTTGTGAGTCAGAATCACTGAGGGAGAGACACAAGTCTAGCAGATCTTCAGAAAAATGAAAAACCCAGGATGCTGTAGCTCTGTCTGCTGTACCTTTCACCCTGACTGCACCTGGAAATCAGGTGAGTTGTGCATAAGGTATCTGAGAAATTCAATCTGTTATTTTCTTGGAAACAGTTTATAAATTCTGAATTGGGATCCAAATCTTTATGAAAGCTTTCTGTATTTGCTAGAAATGCGTCTAAGTGGTTTGCCATCTGCAGGATATTTAGAAACTGGGTGCCTTGACAATTCACTACGAATTGTGTGGGAGAGTGAAGTTGCACAGCATCATCTGTGCTTCCTGACTAGATGGCTGAAGTCATTAATAAAGCAGGATGTTAATTAACAAATGATGAATAATGGATAACAACTTCTCTCATTCACCTACAGATAGTCTTCTCTGATGACCAGGTGTGCATGTGTACAGAGACTTTTCCCTGCAACCATGCCAGGCTTGCACTACCATTCCTGAATAAAGAAAAAGCATGGCTGAAACTAAGACTGTTCAAAATTTAAAGGAAAGATTACAGATGTACTTATTTTTCTTTCCTCAACATGTAACTAGAACTGACTGTCCTGTTTCCTCCCAAGCTCCAAAACTGAAATGGTTTAGCCCATCTCCCATTTTTTTAGTGTTCAATTCAGTGACTTGGTGGATCATTATGAAGAACAAGATGGCTCATCAGTATGGAGAAGCATTGATAGGAACTAGAGTCTCCTCCTCTCTGCCAAATCAGCTGTGTGCTCAGATAGCCCAGCATAATTCTGGGGATCTTTGGTTGTCATGCACTGCCCCCAAAAGCTTGAACGAGAATGAGCATCAGATGGGAAGAGGCTTTGTTGACTTATCACTTGGAGAAACACTTAAGTGGGAGCTGACCCATAAATTTGTCCCTTCAGGACAGTCCTCTGACAGGGATGGACAAGGATGTGATAGAAAGAGTAAAATAGGATTCCCCACCTAGACAAATGCAAGATGGTTATATTTAAAATGGTGACCAAAATTTTTTAAACTTGCATATTTTCTTCCATATGTGGTACTTCTTACACTAGCAGGGCAGAGCTGTGCCAGTGAGCCCCTGCTAGTGCCAAGCTGTGCTGAGTGAGGAGTGGAGCTATGTTCAGTCCCCAGATCAGGATTGCTGTGTCTGAGGCCACTGGTGGAGCTTGTGTGCGTCACCTGGGGCTGCAGGGATGCACCTCCCTATCTCTGCTCCCAGTTTGCCACTCTCTGCCATTATGAGAGGCACTTACGTTTCCTATCCTCAAAATATCTTAATGAGGGGTGAGACATCTATTTTGCTAACCCTGTCTGTATCAAGGGAGGTTTGGTGGTGGTGCCTCCCTCTTTGTGCGACCATCAGGTGGTCAGGACACCCACCTCTGGTGCAGGAACTCTTGGCTCAGTTGTCTTCCCAGCCTGGTTAGGATGAAAACAAAACCCTGTGTTAGACACTAGGAAAGAGTTAGTGAATCACCAGAATAAAAAGAAGTGTGCAAGAGAGAAAAAATAAAAGAGAGGGAGCAACATCCTCTTCATAGGTTATTCAGGGAAAGGCCCTTCTGTGTTGGTGCTGGTAGCTTTTGAGGTACCGAACATGAGTCAGTCATTCAATAAAAGATGTAACTATGCCTGGAAAGGAGAGTCGGAAACCTTATTTCCTTCCTTGTGGGCATGTTACCTAATTATTAAACTGAATTAGTCATAGGCTGTGGTCAGGTTCCTGCCTTTGAACCCTCATTGAATTGGTGCAAGGTGAAGTGGCATCAGGAAGAGAAATGGCACCCCTCTAAACATTGCTCATAAGCTCACGATGAAGATAACCCCCTGATGGAGGGTTACCTGGAGGTGATGTACCTTTTAAGCATGGAGGAAGAGGAAAAAAAATCAGTCCATGTCCTTCTAATTTTTTTTCCTCCTGGGGAGGACTCCTGCACTCGACCTTTGTTTTAAAGAATACGAGAAGAGGAAATGTAAGGTGGAAGGAGAGTGTTTACATGAAATCCCACACAATTATTTTTTGCAGTGAGCTGCTTTTTTCACCAGCATCCAACTCCTGTGCAGGTGCTAGAAGTGTCCTTTAGGCATCCCTAGGGTGACATATCTTCCAGTCAAATGCCAAATTTTGGCTTTAGCCTGAGAAAAGTGCTGAGTTTCTCAGCATTAGCAAGGCGGTGATTCTAGGTGTGCACAACTGTGGAAGCTTAGGTGCCTTGGGAACTTCAGCTGTGAAATCATCATTGCCATTGGACTTCATGCAGCTTAGAGAACCAGGTGAACTTTAAGGGTTATGCTCTTGGATTTTATTATTTTACAACCATATGAACTAGACGTGAAGTGCTACAATCCCTTTTTGGATCTGAATCTAAATGATTTCTACAAGTGCCAGAAGCAAGCTGTGGAATACAAAGAAATAAAAGCTGTATTTATTGAGTCCTAACTCCTAAAGCATATTGCTAACAAAATCTTTATTTAGGGTTTTGCTCAGGACTCAGTTCATCCAGCAATGCTAAATATCTTATTTATTTGGGCTGTCTGAAAAGGTTTCATTAACTTGTTAATGAGATCTGAACTGTGTTAGTGCTAAATCACTCAACCATCATGTGGCTAATGTAGAATCACAGTCCAGCCTTTTTATCTGGGTAATCTTCATAAAATGCTTTGCAGATGAGGAAAGCCTGGGAACCCTCATTACCAAGAGGTCAGGCTGAATTTCACATTCTCTCAACATTTGATATTTTGATGTTTGGTTGGCATACTTTTTTTTTAATTTTAACTGATAAATTAATTCTCACAGGAAAAAATCCCACACCATTTCCCACATGAAAGTAACACCTGCAGCCCACACCACTATCCTTTGATAAAACTAGCACCTGAGCATACACTTTTAAGAGTAATGACATTCTCTAAAAGACTGACATTCTTTAAAACACCACAAACTTCAGGCAAGATCAATTAGACTTTCTATCACTCTGCATCCTGAGAGACTATTGGAAAGCTCTACTCTTTCAGACTTCTGCAGGTTTTCCAGAACTACTTTGTCCACCCTTTCAGTTAAGGGTCAAAGTCACTGCTCACTCTGACTTCTCTGTGATTGTCTTCAACGCTTCCGCAGAATCTCCCTTTCCCAAGGCATTTATTTGTGCCTTCTTTTATGTTTCTTGGGCCATAAATGTTCCAGAAATGGGGACTCCTTAACTATGCATTGGTAAATCAAGAGGGCCACTGTCACAATCAAACAAACTATTTTTAGCAGTAATTAGCAATAATAACATCATCCTTCCACTCTATTATTTTGCATTTCTAAGGTGCCACCACCATAGTGGGATAATTTGGCTAGTCTTTTGGATTGTTTTCTCTTAAAAAAGAAGTGTAAAGTCTATTTCTTTTTAAAGGAATTTTCTCTTTCTTCATCAAATTGAGAAATATTATCTGTCATTACAGTGGTCAGGAATTACTTTCTAACCAATTACTGTAGGTAGAAATGGCTTTAGATGTAATTGATCACGTCTTGAAATATGGGAGTGGAAGAAGAACCTTCCCCCATATTTTCTAAGATTTAGTTGCGTTTCTCTTGACACAGTATTCACAGTCTCAGGGAATGGATTTAAGACACTTGCAAGGTACATCATTGCCGTGTTGTTGGCAAGGCACCAGTGAGTCCTGTCTGTGCTCTGGTAGAGTTGTGTTACTGCCATTGCTACAACCCAACTGCTTATTGGTGCAGCTCTAAAAGTGGCCATGGTTAAGCCAGTATGCAAATATGTGGGATTTTTTTCCCCCATTTGGCATTACGTAGCACTGGGAGAGGCTGCTTTTTCAAAGATGTTTCCTGGAGTAATGGCATTCATGCAGGTATGAACAGCAGCTCTGTGACTGTACTGGTACTGCTAAAGCAACAAAATTAGGCACCTGCCTAAAGCCTACCAACTGCAATTAGGTACCGCAAGGATGACTCAATGATGTGTGATCATACCTATCATTAGTTGCCAAAAATGGTGCCTACGTAGGTATGGTAATTGTTCAAAGACTGGTAGATAAACTAGATCATTCATCATAATATTAATAATTAATAATAATCATTCGTTATTTAGTAGTCCCACTCATGAGTGCAATCTATGCAAACCTTTGGAGATACACAGAAGAGCTTTCTGAACAAAACAGTAATTTTATTGTGAAGGATATACCACAGGACCGACGTCTCCTCTGGGGAAAAAAAACCCAGTGACGCTCATGTTCTACTTTCTTACTTTCAGTTTTATATCTTTGACTTTTTAATGTCTGGTTATGGCCTTCTTTTTCAGATGGATCTGGTCAATACCATTGGTGAAAGTGCAGCCTTGGGAGCAGCTGGAGTTGTTCTCTGGGGCAGTATGCAATACGCCAGCTCAAAGGTAGGTCATATGGGTTTATTAGTATTTAGGAGTCACCTCCATACCCCTTCTCTGCCACCACAACCTCTGTAGCACCTATCTTTATTGATGTCATCAGCCAACGACTGAGGACAATGGTTCAGGACCACTTTCAGGTCTTCAGGTCTTGTTAGTTCTACACTTTTGTTAGGCTGACAAGTCCTGTTGCTTCAGAGCACATTGCTTTGGGCAAGTCATTTGTTGGAGCTTGGAATAATGAGTACAGGTCAGAAGAAAGACATATTTTGAGGCAGTAGCACACAAATCAAAGCACAGCTTGTTTTATAGTGTTCTACTTTGTAGCTATGGTCATTTATACAGCTCCAAAGAGAAGGAATGGAGGCTGGGGGGAGGGTGTATTTTCTCTGGTTGCTGGTGGGGTTTGAGTTGAAATGACAAATGGAAAATCATGATACTACAATACAAAGGCTAATTTCTCCTCCCATATTCCTCAGGCTTTCACAAATAATCGTTCTTGAAGTGATGCAGGAGGCTGCACTGGGGCTTCGCAGGAGGCATGGCAGGCTAGCCCCAGCTCCTGAACCTGGACTGGGCTTTGGTGCCCGCTCTGCTTTTCCTGCAATCTGCTTTCCTCTTCCTCAGGTCTCTGGAAAAGCACCACCGGCTTGGGCAGAGGAAGAGGAAAATCCGAACCGAAACTTTCTAGCCACAATTGCAGCAACTTTTGTGCTGATTTCCAAAAATGTTGTGGCTCTTAGTAGAAGGAGTTGCAGAGATTTGGGCCCAAGCAGTGACTAAATATGTTAGCCCCATGCACAACTCCTTGTCAGCAGTTACCAGAAAATCCTGTTTAAGGGACTAGTTAGTCTCAGATTAACATGTAAACCATGGTTTTGTTTACTGGGACTCCTCTGTAGTGTAATACTGTATGTTGCTACCAAGTACTCAAATAGACAATATGGCAAAGATTAATATTTTGCTAATCTTACTGATGGAAGTAAACTCACTTAAACCCAAAGGTTACTCCAGTATGTAAATACAACAAGATTTATCTCAACAGTTTTAGCCAAGAACAGTTTTGTACCTAGAATCTTCTTAAATGTAATAACTTTGGACATAATGCTAGCTACTGTGTGAAGTATCAAGTCTTTTATTTTCTACAGGAGAGCTGTTCAACGGTGAAACGGTACATTGATGGACCCTTAGGACATTATGTCATTAATGTGACCTCAGCAGCCAAACTCTGTAGCAAAGTCCTGTGCAAGAAGAATGGAAGATGTATCCGCAAAAACAGTGACTCTTCTGCTTATCTCCATTTGTCACCCACTGATTTTAAGATCCGAGTCCGTCACTCAGAGAGGGGTCCTCAGTTCCAGGTGACTGGTGAACCCAGCCTGGAGAGTATTGAAGCCATGAGGCAGAGATTCATGTGTCAGTGTTACCAGGGATGGACAGGAATATTTTGTGAATTGCCTGACCAAAGGCTAATGGAGCGCTGGGCTCGTGTTGTGTTCAGTAGATCAAGAAAACAAAAACTTTATGTCTTCCTTTTAGGAGCCATGCAGCTGCTTCTGCTTCATACTGCTCACTAGAGTCTGCTGAGGCAGTGCAAGAGAATAAGTGGTGCCCACTAAGACTTCTGTTCCTTGGCAGAGTTTTATTACAAAGGGAAAAGGCATTAAATAGTTTTACTCTGTTTTCTTAATTTCCAATTCCTGGAATTGCCTCTGATATAAAACATTTTGAAAGCAGTCCCCTCTTTTTTACTATCTCCTTATTTCTTAACTCACATTTTACTCATACCTTCAACAGGTAAACCTTCTGCTGCAACAGTAGAAGCTTTACCTGAATAAAATAAAGTTGAATTAAGCCTGTACAGTGATTCAGAGTATCTATCCATGTAGAAGAGTAAAATAATTACAGAGCCTCTTTGGCTAAGTTACTTTTTGATACTGCCCTAAATTAAACACTAGCATGTTTTATATGTTATAATCTGCTGGGGTGTTCTAAATTCTTTGCAATATCTTATTATCTCTGAACGTTTTCTTATGGTAATCTTCCCCAAAAAAACCCTTTCTTTGGTTTGCCAGGGACAGATTCACAGCTGGTGTGAACTGCGATGCTCAGATTCACTCAAGCCACAGACCCAGATTGTAACAGACCTGCAGTAGATATGTTAAGGTTGCAATGATCCCTGAAACCTGGACACTGAAATGGGACTGAGTTAGTGAAATAGGGATTTAGAGCCCGCTACAGTGAGTCACACTGTGACAGTGCTGAGAAGCTACAGGAGAGCTCTGCTGCTGACCTGTTACTTTGTAGTGCATAACAACAATGGATGATGGCAAAAGTGAAGTATTTTGGTGCAGGAGAGAAAGGATTAAAATTAAAGTTTAGAAAAACTGTCAGTTTTCAGGAACTATGCCTTTAGACTGAAGTTAGGGTGTTTACCTTTTCAAATATTTTTTATTGATTATATATATTCTGCTTTAGCTCCCTTATTCTGTTCAGCTTGTTAACTTCAAGGGGAACTTACACATTCTTTAGTGCATTCAGAGCATAGAAACTTAGTCCAATTTTGCTAAACACCTGCCACTAGTGCTGGATGTTCCTGCTTTGCGTAATACTGTCCTGTGTTCTGAAACCACAGGTGATGTGAAAATGCTGTAATGCCCATGCATTGTGTCACTGAAATGTGGTTTTTTTAAGTGTTGCGAGTTGCTTTGTGAAATGTTTCCATTAATTTTGCAGGATTATAAGAATAAGCTGTGTAGAGACTTATATACACCATTTATTTGGATAACATAAATTCAATTAAACTGACATCAGGTCTTCATCAGCTAACCTTCTGGTACTTCGGGGGAAGTTCATATAAACAATACAAATGCTGTGGGTGAGGTAGCAATATTCCTGGTTCCACCTGTGATATATATTCCCTGTTAGGGTCCACTGACAGAGCCCTGCTAAAGTCCATAAGCTCTTTCAGTTTATGTCAGGTGTAAATTTGCCCTATGGCTCTTCTTTAGCCTAGGTTACCACTTCTCACAGAAGACTGTACGAGTGTCTGTGGCAGTACACCTATCTGCAAACACAGGTCTTTGAATCTGGCTCATATATTTCCGTGAAGAACCGCAAGTTTAGTTCTGCATCCTCATCATCATGTTGTCTTAGGTAGAAGACCAAACTCAGAATCTGGTCTGGTGTCTTAATAATTATTGAAGGAACCAAGCATCTGAGTGAATGTAATCTTATGGATTTTTTTTTACTTTTTCAGCTACTTAGAGCCCTTTCTTTTGTAAAGAAAGTAAGATTTACCATTAATCAATGTCCCTGGAAGTTCTTCACAAGTGCAGCTGCCAGTGGTAGGGTTGGAGGCAGCCTGAGGGCAGGTAGAGGTTGCAAAGCTGCAGGCAAGGACTCCCATGTCTCGTGTGCTCCCATGTGGGACCACTAACTACACCGGCCAGTACCAAAGTCAGGCTGCGTCTGATCCCCTTAACCCCACAGGTCACCCATCAGGATAAGGTCAGCCAGCCAAAGCCTCCTCTGCTCCCTTCCCTTCTTTTGTGGGTGCTTTGCACCCATCAGGGGATTCAGCACCCTTCCAGTGGAGGATTTACTGACATCCTGGTGTCTTTTTGTTCTCTTCCCTGTGGAGAAATGGGAAATACATTAAAAAGCTTGGTAATGAGCATTTTTTAATCTTCTGTTAGCATTAAATTAATATTAGTCTTCAAAATAAGTGATGAACTAATTGATTCACTTAATTCAGGTCTCATCACTGAATTCAAATTCAAATGAATAGGCTTTCTTGCAAAGCCTAACTATCTGGACTGCAGGGGAGATTTCCCCCCC